ATGTGTATATAATATATGTACATACATACAGATACTCATGTATGTATATATATATATATAATATATATAAAAGAATATATCATATGTGTGCATAAACAGGTATATATATATTTATATATACACATATATGTGTGTATGTGTACGAGTGTATGTATGGAAATATATATATACATGTATGTATATATAATGAATATAGATATGCATATACATTTATATAGATAGATTGATTGATATACATACATATATAGATAGATACATACATGCATATATGTAGATATACATATAGATGAATATAAATATAATGATATATGTGTGTTTGTGTACAGTATATACGTGTATATAAACACCTACACTCACAGATGCAGACATACACACACAAATATAAGATATGTCTTGAAGCGACAAATTATACTGGTATTAATGCTGATGCATTTACTAGTGTAGAAATGTGGAATAATGTCATAAAATCTGATTACATACTCTTTATTTAAGAAGCAGTAAACAACTTAATATAAGAGATAAACTGGTTCGTCCACGGTATAGTCAGTACAATACTGAACTATGAATCTAGCCATAAAAAGACTGTTGGCAGCAGTAATACTGATTAGTGTAACTACTCTTGCACCAGTACTTGCACTTGTTGTAACCAGATGCGGGTTGGTTGAGGTGGAAGCCGAAACCAGGCACAAGACCAGGGAAATGGGCGGGGTTGAAGGATCCAGCGCCGAAGGATCCAGCGCCGAAGGATCCAGCGCCGTGGATGCCAGAGCCTACGAGTCCTACGCCATGAGCGCTACCTCCGTGGATACCAGCAGATGAATGGACACTGCCGTGGACACCAAGAGGTCTGTGTCCGCCAGAACCGTAGCTTCTGTGTCCAGCAACTGCTGCTACGAAGCACAGAGCCACGAGGAAGGAGGTCACTGCCACGTTACGAGCCATTCTGAAAAAAAAAAAAACATGTGATACATTATATTTACATTATATGTGTAACAAAATTCACACATGTGAATCCTCGACCGATGGTTTAAGAGAATGAAGTTCATCTTCAGTCGTTACCTGAACTTCAACTGCGTGCTGTGTTCTGAGGTTTCCTTCACACTGCCTCCTTATATACAGATTCTCTTCCAGGGAACTCCAGACAAGAACTGATGTTGCTAGCAGTCTCCATTTTCTTTCATGCATCAGTAACCATTTTCTTAATTCATCAGCGCAGTCAACCTATTTGGTAAATTACTAATTATATCGAAAAAAGCCACATCGAAAATATAGATTATATTACTAATGCGTTCCAGAAAGCAATATTCCTTTATTACACCCATTATTATTAATAAGAAGTAATTGAGTATGGCAAGCAGTGGCAATGCTGATGGCGAAACCAAGATTTCCAAACAACGAGGCAATATCTGGAAGAGGTTACCTAAGCAGATTCTGATTTTCGGTTGATATTGTTTAGTTATTCATGTTTTGTTTATTTGATTTCACCATTTGTTTATAAATGAAGACCCGTTGTTCTTATCATTAAATCATTATCATTGTTACCCTTATTATTATCATTATAATTTTTATTGTTGTTTTTGAATATTTTATCATCATTATTTATCTATGAAGACCCATTATTCTCGTTATTATTATCGTTATCATCTTTATATACATCATTATCAATATTATTGTTACTCTTATTATCACCACTATATTTTTATTATCATTGTTGTTATTGATTATATTATCATCATCATCATACGTATCATACATAGCACTTTTAATATAAAAATATGTACTGATGACTATAAGTGAACAGTGATAATGAAAGGTAGACATACACAAACAGATAGATAAATAGACAGATGGAAGGAAAGTGAAAGAGAGAGAATTCACTGTATAGTTTATATCTACACACGCTCACGAACACACACACACAAACACACATACACATGCACATACACAAACAGACACATACACACATATATAAACCTTATGCATATATATATATATATTTAAACAGTATATGTATATATATATATAGATAGATATATGTATATACATATATACATACTTATACACACACATGCATATACATATATATGTACGCACATACACACACATGCCTATAAAGAATATATGCTTTATTTTGAAGTATAACTTTGTGCTGATATAATTTTGGTAAAAAAGCCTAAATATTTATTTCTGGTAAGTTTGCAAGTATGAAATTATGACACTTAAGAATCTTACAATCAAGAACAGTAATAACACAATAATGATAATAATAATTTTAATAATAACAATGATAGTAGCAAATAACATTATAAGAATAATATTAATCATGATTGATGATGATAAAGATAGCATTGATGAATTACAAAGATAACCCCAATATCAAAATAATGCTGATTATGTAATAAAACAAACGGTGAACTTTAGAATAAAGATACAAAGAACTTTTTTCACGTTTTCTCCTGTGATAATCAAGAGCGTCATTAAAGCACCGAGGAATATCATTCATTCGCTTGGAAACCTACGTAGTCCATAGTCACACACGTTATCACAACACGGTCCCCCAAAGCCATTATTGTGGAAGTGATGTACTGTAGTTTCAATGATCGTGGACATCACCATCATTGACAAGAACCCTCTAAGCCTATCTATTTTCAATCCATTTTCCTCTTCACTCCCTTTCAACCCCCACCACCAGTGCTCCCTCCCTGTTCCTATCTTTTACACCCCCACCATACACATATATATGAATATATATATGTGTGTGTGTGTGTAATCTAGAATATTGTAAAATCCTATGACGGTGTTCAATGTGTTCAACGTTGAAGTGTACCTATTTGGGACTGCAGTGCCTACAGAAAACGAAATTTTGGCAGAAGCTGTGGTATCATGTTAATATCTTCAAGGTTAGGTTAGGTTAGGTTTGTCAGTTTGAGTGATTCCTTAATGGCAATTTTCGTATACATTATCAAATATTTCAGATTCGTTCATCTTTTTCGTTCCATTAAATATTCACTTTTTTCGTCATGTGGCTGTACGGTTGCAATTCAGAGGTAAGAAGTTCTTACTTATATGGAAGCACTACAAGACATGTTCGTAAAAATAATATACATATATATATACATACATATATGCATATGTGCACACGTATGTGTATATAATATATGTACATACATACAGATACTCATGTATGTATACATATATATACGGCATATATATAAAAGAATATATCATATGTGTGCATAAACAGGTATATTTATATTTATATATACACATATGTGTGTATGTGTACGAGTGTATGTATGGAAATATATATATATGTATGTATATATAATGAATATAGATATGCATATACATGTATATAGATAGATTGATTGATATACATACATATATAGATAGATACATACATATATATAGATATACATATAGATGAATATAAATATAATGATATATGTGTGTTTGTGTACAGTATATACGTGTATATAAACACCTACACTCACAGATGCAGACATACACACACACATATAAGATATGTCTTGAAGCGACAAATTATACTGGTATTAATGCAGATGCATTTACTAGTGTAAAAATGTGGAATAATGTCATAAAATCTGATTACATACTCTTTATTTAAGAAGCAGTAAACAACTTAATATAAGAGATAAACTGGTTCGTCCACGGTATAGTCAGTACAATACTGAACTATGAATCTAGCCATAAAAGACTGTTGGCAGCAGTAATACTGATTAGTGTAACTACTCTTGCACCAGTACTTGCACTTGTTGTAACCAGATGCGGGTTGGTTGAGGTGGAAGCCGAAACCAGGGACAAGACCAGGGAAATGGGCGGGGTTGAAGGATCCAGCGCCGAAGGATCCAGCGCCGAAGGATCCAGCGCCGTGGATGCCAGAGCCTACGAGTCCTACGCCATGAGCGCTACCTCCGTGGATACCAGCAGATGAATGGACACTGCCGTGGACACCAAGAGGTCTGTGTCCGCCAGAACCGTAGCTTCTGTGTCCAGCAACTGCTGCTACGAGGCACAGAGCCACGAGGAGGGAGGTCACTGCCACGTTACGTGCCATTCTGAAAGAACATGCGATACATTATATTTACATTATATATGAAGTGGTCTGAAAATGCATATGAAAAGTATGACATGATGTTTCATTTGATTTGCTCACTGAACCCACTTGGTCGAGGATGGCAAGACAGACAAATATGTCCATTGTAATATAAGCATATTGTGTTTATCCATAACTTACTCCACAAGTGCTTAATCGTCAAGGAGTCAACTACTATCCCTAGCTATCTCACCTGGTTACCGTTTTCCGTGATTTCCGGAATTTAAAGAAAACCAAAAGTATTCTAATAACAATACAATATTCTCAATGTCAGTAACGACAAAAAATGACAATCGATGTCACCTTTAAAAATCTTTCAAGTAATGGCAAAAACAAGATATGCCCACAAAGAACCTACTGACTCCTTGGTGCCTGAGCACTTATAGAGCCATCTATCAATCCACACAAAACAGTAGACAGTATGTGAATCCTCGACCGATGGTTTAAGGGAATGAAGTTCATCTTCAGTCGTTACCTGAACTTCAACTGCGTGCTGTGTTCTGAGGTTCCTTTCACACTGCCTCCTTATATACAGATTCTCGTCCAGGGATCTCCAGACAAGAGCTGATGTTGCTAACAGTCCGCATTTTCTTTCATGCATCAATAACCAGGTTTCTTTAATTTATCAGCACAGTCAACCTATTTAGTATGTTACTACTCATATTGAAAAAAAGTTATATCGGAAATAAATATGTTACTAATGACTTCCAAAATGCAATATACCTGTAGATCACCTAATATTAATAAATGATTGAGTATGGCAAGCACTGGCAATGCTGATGGCGAAATCAGGATTTCCAAGGAACGAGGAAGTATCTGGAAAAGGTTAGCTAATCACATTCTGATTTTGTATTGTACTGTTTAGTTACTCGTTTGTTTTATATATTTCATCTAATTATTTATCTTTCCATGAACACTTATTATTGTTATTATTATCATTATGGTCATCACTGTCATTATCAATATGTATATCATTATTACTGTTCATCTTATTATTATCCTTATCATTATTATCATTTTTGTTATTGTTTATATCCTCATATTTATCATATATATCACTTTTATAAAATACCTCACTGTACTGAAGTTACAAGTGAACTATGTTAAAGAAAGACAGACATACACAGGCTGATAGATAAATAGAGCGAAAGAAAGAGAAATAAACAGAGAGAGAGTTTATTTCTAAATCATCACATACACGCATGTATATATAATATATGTATATATACATGTATATGATATATGTATATACACACACACACATATATGAATATATATATGTATACATATATAATATATATATGTATTTATATGTATATATATATATATATATATATATATATATATATATATAATATATATGTATTTATATGTATATATATAATATATGTATTTATATGTATATATATAATATATATATGTATTTATATGTATAGATAAATAGCTATGTATATACATATATGTATATATATATAAAATATATATATGTATTTATATGTATAGATAAATAGCTATGTATATACATATATGTATATAGATAGATATACGTATATATATGTATATATATATGCTTTATTTCGATGTACGAAATTATGCTGATATAATTTTGGTACGAAAACCTAAATATTCATTCTTGGTTAGTATGTATGAACGAAATTATGACGCGTAAGAATCTTGCAATCAAGAACAGAAATAGCACAACAGTGACTATAATACTAGCAATATTGATAAAAATAATATCAATAATAATAGCAATACTAATGATAATGATAATAATAATAATAACAATGATGATGGCAAATAAAATGAAAATAATGTTGATCATGATTCGTAATATTAATAGCGTTGATGAATTACAAAGCTAAAACCAATAACAAGATAGGGATGACAATGCAATAAAACAAACGGTAAACATTAGATTAAAGATAAAAAGAATAAAAAAAAATCGACGTTTTCTTCTGTGAGAATCAAGAGAGTCATTAAAGTACTGAAGTAAAGCATTCCATGAACAGACCTCGAACCGATTCGCTTGGAAAGCCTTGTAGCCCACAATCACACCCTTCACAACATGATGGTCCCCAAAGCCTTTAGGTTCAGGGTTCGTGGACATCCCCATCACTGACAAGAACCCTCTAGGCCTATCTCCTTCCAATCCATTTTCCCCTCAATGCCTTCAAACCCCCACCCCTAGGGCTCCTGCCTGTTCCTCTTTCTTCCCTTTCCCCTTCTCCTCTATCTCCTCATTCCCATTCCCAAATATCTGTAGTTTTGACTGGAGTGTAACGCAAGGTCTTATGGAAGAAGTACATTCGATTTCGGAAGATGGTTCGAGTCGGGAAATGTAATAGGCTTCAGTGCTGTACTTACGGTCAAACAAGATTATATATATATACAGATACAATTATTTATATATCTTTGCACTCGTATATTTCTATTTATGCATATACATACATAACATACACACACATATGTATATATGCATGTATGTGTGTAAATATATACACATATACAAAAAAGCACACACACATATATATCTATAAATATATATATATATATAATTATACCATATGTACACATACATATTTATGTACACATACATATTTATGTACACATACATATTTATGTACACATACATATTTATGTACACATACATATTTATGTACACATACATATTTATGTACACATACATATTTATGTACACATACATATTTATGTACACATACATATTTATGTACACATACATATTTATGTACACATACATATTTATGTACACATACATATTTATGTACACATACATATTTATGTACACATACATATTTATGTACACATACATATTTATGTACACATACATATTTATGTACACATACATATTTATGTACACATACATATTTATGTACACATACATATTTATGTACACATACATATTTATGTACACATACATATTTATGTACACATACATATTTATGTACACATACATATTTATGTACACATACATATTTATGTACACATACATATTTATGTACACATACATATTTATGTACACATACATATTTATGTACACATACATGTGTGTATTTATACATTGATACATATATTCACATGGATGCATATATATATATTATATATATATACGGCATATGATATATATTTATATATATACATGTTTGTACATACATGTATATATGTACACATACATATTTATGTACACATACACAATGCATATATTTGTGTGTATATAGCATATGTTGGCGTGTGCATGTGTGTATATACAGGTTTATATATATGTGTATGTGTATAATAAGGTACATTATATATGTACAAATATACATATATATGCATTATATATATAGATATACATATGCATACATATGTGTATACATATGCATGCTTGTATATACATATATATACACACATGTATAGACATACATATACCTATAGATATGTGTGTTTGTGTGTACAATATATACACATACAGACGGAGACATAAACACACTCACACGTGTATATTTATACATATATATTTGTGTCTATATGTGTACGTATCTACCTATATATTTCTATATCTTTAAACACACACATATCTATCTATATAAATATATATTAGTTATTGTGTCTAAGCGACACATTATACCGATATTAATGCTGATGCATTAACAAGTGTAAAAATGTGTAATAATGTCATAAGATCTGTTTATATATTCTTTATTTGAAAAACAGCAAACAAATGTGTCCGTATAAGAGATAAAATGGTTCGTCCACGGTATAGTCAGTACAATACTGAACTATGAATCTAGCCATAAAAAGACTGTTGGCAGCAGTAATACTGATTAGTGTAACTACTCTTGCACCAGTACTTGCACTTGTTGTAACCAGATGCGGGTTGGTTGAGGTGGAAGCCGAAACCAGGGACAAGACCAGGGAAATGGGCGGGGTTGAAGGATCCAGCGCCGAAGGATCCAGCGCCGAAGGATCCAGCGCCGTGGATGCCAGAGCCTCCGAGTCCTACGCCATGAGCGCTACCTCCGTGGATACCAGCAGATGAATGGACACTGCCGTGGACACCAAGAGGTCTGTGTCCGCCAGAACCATATCTTCTGTGTCCAGCAACTGCTGCAACGAGGCACAGAGCCACGAGGAGGGAGGTCACTGCCACGTTACGAGCCATTCTGAAAAAACCTGCGATACATTATATTTACAGTATATATGAAGTGGTCTGAAAACGCATATGGAGAGTATACCATGACGTTACATTTAATTTGCTCATTTAACGCACTTGGTGGAGGATGGCAATGCAAATATGTCCACTGTAATGTTATCATATTGTGTTTATAGGTAACTTGCCTCACAAGTACTTAGTCACCAAGGAGTCAACTATTATCCCTACCTACCTCACCTGGTTACCCTTTTTCGTAATTTCCGGAGTTTATAAGACATCGATATTAATACCATAAAAAAATCAGGTATGGCCACAAAGAACATACTGACTCCTTGGTGCCTGAGCACTTATGGCCATCTGTGTGTAGCAAAATCCACACAAAACACTATAGTGGACAGTATGTGAATCCTCGACCGATGGGCTAAGCGAATCAAGTTCATCTCTAAAAGTTACCTGAACTTCAACTGTGTGCTGTGTTCTGAGGTTTCATTACCGCTGCTTCTTTATATACAGATTCTTGTCCAGGGAACTCCATGCACGAGCTGGTGTTGCTAACAGTCCCCATTTTCTTTCATGCTTCAATGACCAGGGTTCTTTAATTTATCACATAGCCAAACTACTTAGTAAGTTGCTACTCATATCGAAAAAAAAGTTATATCGGAAATATAGATTATATTATTAATGCTTTCCAGAAAGCAATATGCTTGTAGACCACCAAATATTATTAATAAGATGTAATTGAGTATGGCAAGCACTGGCAATGCTGATGGCGAAATCAGGATTTCCAGGCAACGAGGCAGTATCTGGAAGAGGTTAGCTAATCAGATTTTAATTTTGTATTGTACTGTTTGGTTACTCATTTGTTTTATCTATTTCATATTTCTTTATCTATGAAGACTTATTATTATTGTTATTATCATTATGGTCATCACTGTCATTACTTATCATTACTTGTCATTACTCATATTTATCATATATATCACTTTTATAAAATACCTCACTATATTAGAGTTACAAGGGAATTATGTTAAAGAATGATAGACAGATATACACAGGCTGATAGATAAATAGAGCGAAAGAAAGAGAAATAGACAGAGAGTTTATTTCTAAATCATCACATACACGCATATATATATATAATACATGTATATATACATATATATGGTATATGTATACACACATACATATATATATATACAATATATATAATATATATATATATATATATATATATATATATATATATATATATGTATATATATGTATAGATAAATAGCTATGTATATACATATATATCTATATAGATAGATATACGTATATATGCTTACATATA